GGATTACGGTGTACAGAAAAGGGTGTAGGGAAGTGGAATCATTGGATCACGGGGTGCAGAAAAGGGTGTAGGGAGATACAAGAAGATGGGCGACACAGCCTGAGAGAGGAAAGGGGTGCTGACAACTTCTAATGGAGTCTAGTGTCTGAAGGGCACACGAGCAGGCTGCCTCCTCTGACTGGACCAGAGGAATGGAAAGCCAAGCTCATTAACCCAAGGCTGAGTGGTTCCTGTGAGGTTACGGTCAGACAGGTCTCTATTCTCCAACCTTTCTTTACCAATTCTGGCACCAACCGTTCCCTCCCAAGGCACCCGACTTCTCAGCTAAGTGTGATCATTGATTTCAGGGCCCACACAGAACTCACAGACCACGTTCAACAACGATGGGCTTAAGTAGGATGGCTAAAAGGATCAATTCTTTGGTCAGGGCAGCTTCTCCCCAGCCATGCTTTCTCTGGATTTTTCATTCTTTCTTTTAAAAATTGTATTATTAATTAATACAGTGTATTAATGTTCATACAGATATCATTCCACAGTGCAGTCACATCAAGCAGAATTGTACAATTGCTACCACAGTTTCCAAACATTCTTTTTCTTCTGGGATTCCTTAACATCGTCTCATCGTCTCCCTTGTTACCACCCCCACCCTCACTGAGTCCCGAGTCCCCCATCCCGACACCAGAAACCCTTCTTCTACTTGCTGTCCCTATAGGTTCATCAGTCCTGAGGTTCATACACTGAAACTCAGAAAAACACAGAGCACAACTTCAAGAGGGTGACCTCCAATGACATGACACCTCTGAGAGACACCCTACTACGAACAGACAAAGCACCAATTCAGAAAATGTGGACACCCAGACCAGGGCCAGCATGCATCAGAGAGGGACCAACTGACACGGTTTTAACTGCTCAGGTCAGATTTATGCCTTTGATCTTCTGTACTCGTCTCTCCCAGGCCCTATGTGTAGTGACCACTGTCCTCCCGTCCCTCAATTGTGGACAGGGGGTTCAGTGGAGGTTTACTTCCTGTGTAGTTCCCGTAAATGAACGCGGGGCCATTCTTTTTTCTGATTGCTTCTATAACACATTAGTTTTGCGAGAGTTGTCTTCAAGCACACTGATTTGGCCTTCCCTTGATTCCCTTTAACTTCTTTGCTCTGTCAATGTTTTATCTGCTTCTGAAATCTTAGGGTTAATTATTAGTAATCATTATGGATGAATTGATCCATGATTATTTAATCAGTTGTGGATTAGGTGAATTGATTCTGGATTAATTAACTTAGTATTACTTATGGATTTCTATTTGCTGCTTTTGTATGGTTCCTAATTTTTCATTTATTTTGTTGGCATGTTCTTACAGCGTTTTCCTGAACTCTTCTAAAGTTTGTTTTGGTTTTTAGTTTTCCCTGATTTCATCTGTAGCTTTTTTGATCTTTCTCTCAATTTGTGGGAAGAACCAAAATAGCACTTTTTAAAAATCTCTTTTTGGGCTGTTCCAGTGCTGTTTCTTCCTCAGAAAGGTAGTCTGGCTCTCTAGTCTGGTTACGCTTTCCTATTTCTCCAGGTGAGCGGAAACCGTCTGTTGTCTCCAAGGCATTGTGGTGTATTTGTATTTCAACGGTGATTGCACTGTGGTGTGTTCTTGGGAACTTATCACTAGTCCTTGTGGGTGTGATGGAGGGTGTGACTGTGTGGTGCGCCTCTCTCTGTAGCGCAGTGAGGTGGGTGTGGCTGGATTTGGCTGCTGTCTACCAGTGATCAAACGGTACAGGAGCAGGCAGTCGCCCTCATCTAGGACGTGGGCTACAGAAGGGGCTTGTCCAGGTGTGCATGCTTGCTGTCACCAGCCACTGACGTGTGTGTTTGGTCAGCCCTCTGTCTTGAGCAAAGCGAATGCTACTTGCAAAACTTGGAGATGCCCATGCTCCATCGAGGCAGCTGACAACTCACGTGTCTCTTCTCGTACCACTTTTGTTCCACTTCTTCTAGCTGGTATTGAATCTACTTCACTTTCCTCCATTGCTCAGGGATCCAGGATTATCATTTATATCTGTTGCATGTGGGCTGTCGTGTCTTGGCTGTAGAAGATTTGAACAGCGTGTCTGCCCTGTCCTCCCTCTCGTATGAAGTCTCTGAAATGACTTTTCGATGTTGCTTCCCAACACGATTCTTAACGGTGACGAGAGAGCCTCCCCGCAGCCACGCAGTGAAACCCTGCCCTGCAGTTCCATTGTGCCACTTAGGTGACAGCTCCAGCTCAGAGCGTGCTGTGCCTCGCTGAGGCCAGTAGAACTCACCTTTTCCCAACACCGTAAGCCACATATCCACGAGCACAACTGGCCGCCTACTTGGGAGGAGAAAGAAGGCAATGGATGTGTGTACACAGCAACAGTCCCTGTCTTTACTCAGAGAGGGAAGGCCTTAAAAACAAAGACACGCTTATTCAGGTTTTTACAGGAGAGAGAAGAGCCTAATCCATTGTTTCTTTGTTATCCACAGCTCCTTCATTCCCAAATTCATCACCCACCTCTTCAAGTGCAAGCCAATTAGCATGGTGGGAGCCGAACAAGTAAGTTGGTATAAGACCTTTGCCTGACAGTTTTACTGTGGATCACACCTATATCCTGTTCATGTGAATCTACTCTGGAGAAATCCAAAGGCTAATATACCATTTGGAGACAATATAATGACTTGGCTGCCTCTTGCCTACCTCGGCCATCTATTTATTTATTTATTTATTCTGTTTATTTATTTATTTATTTATTTATTTTTAATCAATTTATTGGGGCTCATACAATTCATCACAATACATAGATCAATTGTATAAAACACATCTATACATTTGTTGCCCTCATTATTCCCAAAATTTGCTTGCCTCTTGGGTTCCCGGAATCAGCTCATTTTCCTTTTTTGATCATCTATTTATTTAAGACGTTTTTGTTGGGCATTTACTCACCGCCAGGCAGGGAATGTGCCACCATGAGTAGGGCGGAAAGCTGCCCTTCCTGGTGCTCACGTTCTAATAAGAGCAGACAGATAACAAACAGACTGGAAGATGGTTTCACGGAAATGGAGTGGCCTGCACGATGTAAGACGAAGCTCTGGGGAAATGCTGTCTGAGGAGATAAGGGAATAGTGACTTCAGTCTGCAGTCAGACACAGAAGGCTTCTTGGAGACTTGAAGTTTGAAGCGGAGCTGGGGAGGAGCTCTGGGGTCCCAGTGGGCTAGGCAGTGGACTGCTACCTACAAAGTTGGCGGTTCAAGCCCATCAGCCACTCTGTGGGAAAAAGATGGAGCTGTCTGCTCCCATAACGATTTACAGTCTCAGAAACTATAGTCGGGCACAATGAGTTGGAATCAACTTGATGACAGGGGCTTGCTTTTTGAGTTTGAGTGACTGAGGCAAAGATCCCTTAAGAGTAGCCAACAACCTCCCTGGTGGCTTAGTGGTTACCTGCTGGGCTGCTCACATCGCAAGAGTAGCCAACAAAAAGGGGTTTAACTTTTTGGTGCTGGTAAGTTCTGCTCACCTCCCCCAGGATGCTTCCCTTGGCTGCTGTGCCTCAGAGTGTGTGCCCCTGAGCGCTGCGGGGTTGAGATGCATGATCACGAAGCCACACATCCTTTCAGCCAGCTCCGAGTCAGAGTGCAGTTTAAGCTACTCTAAAAGAGGACAAGCAATAACAGTCGGCCCATAAGTCTTTAAAAATACTCTGATTTCAGTGCAAATTATTCATTTGCTGATCAAGACTCATTCTCCTGTATTCATTAAATTCTCTCGAGACCTCTGTCAGCAGTTAGTAAACCACTGTCGGTTACTATTCATATTTGAAATCACTCAAATTGTATTTTTAAGTGAGATAAGGATATGATTCTAGACATTTCTATAAATCTTGCTCTTCCACCAAATTACCCTGACTTGGTAGAGGCTCTGCTTCCTCCCCAGCTCTGTGATCTGGACTCACACCGGCCCCTCACCTGTGCTGACCAAATCGTGCCTCAGTATAAATGTCACGTTAGTGTGCGCCACGGCACCCACGGCTCTCCCATGGAGAGTCCGTGCTGGAAATAAGAACTCTGTGACGTCTGGGGATCTCTGGGACCTGCTCAGTGCAGGTGCTTCGTGTACCTCTCAGTGGGGCCACCCGCTTTGTGGTCGACAGCCCTCCTGGGTTATGAAAGGCAGTCTGGCATGGTCGTTCAGGGCATGAGACCAAGTCTGGGCTCTGCTGTGTACAGCCGTCCGCCCTCAGTCCAGCTGCTGAAGCCCCCACGGCTGTGGTTTCCTGTGCATAAAAGGGGTGACCATGACACCACCTCCCAGAGTAGGGTGCACAACGTCTGACCCCTGGTTAGTCGGCGTTGGCTCTCACACATTTGAAGCTGCCCAGGAGCAGGGGCAGGAGTTGACTTCTCTCCCCACCTCCCTGGTGTTCCTCTGACGCGGAACCTGCACGGTGCGTCAAGTCAGTGCTGCTGCTGGTTAACTGGCTGACCAGCTGTGGCCAGAGCCCAGCGTGTTGTCTGGGGAGGAGTCCTGGTCCGATGGTGTTCTGAGTACCTTGCCCTGTGCATGTCGTCAGTGTGGAACCGATTCTCCCTGGAAACAGCACCGGGTCGCCCCAACATGCCGCCTCCCGCTTTGCTGGGGCGTGCTTGCTGGCTCCCGTTCTGTGCATCTCGCCGGGGCGTGTCAGCAGAGGCACTGTGGAGTGGTTGCTCTCTGCGTGTCTGGGAGAAGCTGTAGCGTTCTCCATGTTCTCCACGACGCTGTTTCTGTCCCTAGACTTGCTGAAGCCCCCAAAGTTGATTCAGTGGCCAACAACCATCGTGTTTTCATTTTGTCACATGAATCCAGTAGCCTATGTAGTTTTCTCTTCCATCAAAGAATGTTAAAATAATCAACTCAGGCTCAAAGTCAGTGTTTTCAAAAAAATATCTACTTTTTCTACTTGGAATTAGGAAACCATATGCAAAAACTTGAGCTTTCCTTTCTTGGGCCCTAGGCCGGCACGCTAGGAGAGCCCGGCCCTGGGGCAGGGTCCGGCAGAAGCCGCAGGGCAGCATGGCCCTTGAAGGATGCCCACATGCAGTTCAGGTTAGCTGGGCCTGCGCTTACCTTGAGGGTCTGGGCTTTGGAACGGAGGCAGTCGTGTGGCTGGAGGCCTGGTAGTCTCACCGCCTGACACTGAGTCTGCCCCACATCAGGGACCACTTGTAATGCCAGCTGTCGCCAAAGCTCTGGAACTCAAAGCCGAAAGCCAGCCCAATCTCAGCCCCTGGGCTGTGCCCGAAGGTCAGGCTACCCTTCTTGTGCCTGAGCTGGGAAGAAGGCAGTGTCTTGCTCTGTGTTCTTTCCTGATGGCGCTGTAAAGTGAGGTGTTTAATCTTTGGGCCCCAGAGTCCTCTTGAGCAACTGCAGCAGGCAAGGGACTGGCCCAGCACACCTGTGTTGTATTGCTGCTCGCCCAGCAGGCGGTGTCCAGAGACTCCTGGTGGACTGCTGGGTCATCAGTGAGTCCAACGACCCCAGATATCCCTGGCAGAACACACAGGAGGAAGGGAACGTATTGGCCCACATGGACCACGGAGGCTCCAACCCAGCGCCGCCACCACATGGGTGCTCTGCGTCCTGCGTCCTCCCTGCTCGGGGCCCCATCTCCCCATGCTTCCAGCACCGGCCTCAAGGATGCCGAGCGGCATCTTTAAGCTCGTGAAGGTTATTTTCTTTCTGTGATCTTTATTTAGGGTTTTGACTTTTATTCTCACGTAATTCAAAGCCATCTGGGAGAAGGAAAGAAAAAGTTTAGAGCATAGCTTAGTTGGTTTTGTTGGGAGTGGACATAAGAGTTGGGTAGTGGATGCACCATCCGCGGTGGGACGGTGGGAGCACAGGTGGGTCCTGCTCAGGCACACTCATGAGAGGTAAGTCCCCTGACAGTGGAGGGGCGTTTTCAAGCACTCCTAAAAAGAATTGAATTGATAGCATGGAATGCCCATTCATGGTGCATTAAAAAAATAATAATATAAACTCCATGGAAAATAAAAATGGAAGGGGAGTGATTGACTCGGGGGTGGGTATGTTTTGTAATATGATGGGAGGGTCTCGTGGTATGGGTATATCCCTTTGTCAGAGCTGTACAGTTGACAATGGTGTGTTGTCAGTTTTCCACCCCAAAATGGATGAGAGAGGGGAAGTGACGGCAGAGGATCTCCTAGCCCTTGTCGACATTCGGGGCAGGGTCGTCCTTTACTGTGGGACTGCCCTGTGCACTGGTGGGTGTGGGCAGCGTGCCCAGCCTCTGCTGACTAATGGCCAGCAGCACCCTCCCAGATCATGCCAGCGTCTCCTGAGGGCAGACTGCCAGCCTGCCCTCCCCGTGGAGAACCGCTGGGTTCTGGATGTTAGAGAAGGCATGAAGCGCACGCGTTTAGCTTTCAGTGGTTGGAGCTCAGTGGCAGGTGCACCAGGGCTCATGACACTATTCTGTTGCCAGCATCTGTGTGTGAAATTCTCCATAGTGACAGGTTGGGGGTGGGGGGGAGTGATGGCCACACCCCCCCACTCACACCCCCAGGTGCAGAATCCAGAAAAAAAGCTTTATTGTGGGAATCCACACCAGACTTCCACGCCTCGTGAAGTTAAACTTGCTCCTTTCCAGATTTTCTATGCTGTGCAGAAAAGCAAGCTGTCTCTTTCTAGTGTGTGCCCACTTCTGCGGAGATGGTGACACCGCCGGCTCTCACACAGCACTCGTGTGTTCCTAGAGAGTTCTTGGGGCTCGCCTCCCCCAGCACTGGTGCTGCCTGGTCTGAAGACCTGACCCGTCTCGCCTTCCCAGGGAGAGCTCCAGGCCTCGCGTATCACCCGCCACAGGCGAGGAGACGGCGGGCACGGCCACCCCGGAGTCTGCAGCGTCACGGCGTCGCAGGGCAGAGGGGACCCCGACCAACACGGAACGAGCTTGTGAGGGAAACGAATCAATTCTTTTTTCAAAACGAAGGCAGTCACGTAGAGCGAGCTCTTCTCTCGAGACCACCAGTCAAACAAGTGTATCTGCCGCCTAGCAGTCCCGGCAGCACAGTCGGGAAAATACAAGGTTTAACAGAAGCAAAGTCTATAGAAAGGAAGAAACAAAGGATTCCTTTTCCATAGAGGATGGGATGATGCAGGGTAATTTCCAAAAGACTCTGCAGGTGGCCTCTGGATTCAAAGCCAAAATTCAATTTTATTTCTGTAGAGCAGCCACAAACCATTTGAGAGTGAAAAAAATTAATGAAGCCATTCACAATAGCATCGAGAAATATTAAATACCTCAAAGTAAGTCTAACAGAACATGTGCACATCTTGTTTACAGGAAGGTGATGCAATCTTAAAATAAGCCAAAGAAGAGCTTTTGGAGTAGCAGAGAAGAATCATGCTCATAGATTTGAGATACCCGGTATTCAAAAGATGTAGGTTTGTCCAAAATTAATGTATCAGTACAGCGCAATCCCAATCTGAATTGGATTGCATGGACACATTGATACGACTGATTATGAAATCTAGATGGAAATGCAAAAGACCA